GCTCTCGACGATGTCCACCGCGAGCTTCAGCAAGCTGAGGCAACGTGGTGACTCCCACAGGATTATAGTGAAAGAAGACTTGCGGAGAATCTACCTCACTCTCTTATCCCCTCCCACACCTGAACCCGATATCAAGACAAGAAACGAGAAGACCGGAGATGAGGGAGGACGCAGGTGGCTGGCGCGACCAACACTCAATACGCGTACCAACAGCACACCTTGTTAGATAAGATCCCGCCTGGGAGCGCCGTGAGGGCCACATTAGGAAGGAGTCATCGAGTCTGACTCTCGACCCGCAGACAGCCACTCCACACAAGGAGACACACACTGGGCTGACTGCGGTGTCCAAGTTATCCTGTCAGTTGACAATCCTCTAAGCCACGGCTTTAGCGCTCTGTTATAGCTTCAAGCGCATCAGATTGTTCTGACCGCAGGCATATTTGCACGACCGAAACTGATGCCCTAACAGCAGTGGACAAAATTCGGTATAAATCCGGCATATGTATCCGGACTTTTCCAGTAAGATTACATGATGGAATCCGCTTGGATTTGCTACTAGGATGGACTTGGATCAAGTAGACTCCGAACGGCTGGACTTGCCAATGATTACGGTTTTCCGTCCTTCGTCTGCTGGGACAATCATAATTTCATCGTCGCTCTTGGATTCACCAATGACCCTTACACTCGTCAGAAGAAAGTAAAACCAGCGAGAAATTTTGATTATCACACTGGGCCGGCTGGCGCGACAAGACAGACGAACCATTGACTTGTGAGAGGGTGAGTCATGTTTGGTTCTTGAGCGAAGGAGAAGGGAGAAGAATGACAGCCTCCCGTGCTAGAGAGGCCAAGTAGCAAATCCAGACGGATTCCATCACGCAATCCTACTAGAAAAAGCTGGATACATATGCCGGATTTATACCGGATTTTGTCCGCTTGACCTTCACGTGCTACTAGGGTGCTTACCGGTTGGTTGGTTCTTGTCCCTATAAATGTTGCTTGTTTTTCGTGGACGCTTTTATCTCTGACGATGGATTCTCACAAGAGCCCCAATGCTCAGAACAATATACAAATTTATCCGGTGCTCAACAACCTTCTTCCATATGCATTTTTATTCTGACGGATGTTCGAATGCTCATCCAGATCTTCCTTTTCTTTTTTATCAATTCAAGGCCGTGAAATGGAAGACCCCGCATTATTCGCGGGTCCCGAAGGTCTCTCCCGAATCCTGACAACGCTGCGTTTCGGCATGAATCCCGAACAGGCCCTCCTCTACTCCATGCTGCTCAACAGTGTAGGCATGGGTCTGGCCAATGGCGCCTCCCTGGATCGGGATCCGACGCGCGGTGGTTTTCCCATGATACCGCGGGCGATGTCTACCGAGAATCACCTGGCGCATGAGGCCATCTCCACGAATAACACCTCGCCGGACAATATGCCCGTATCAACCAGTAAGATAATTCTACTTCCATTTTATCTTATTGCGCGAACTTCTGGCCAGGTGTAGAATGCCATTAGGTGGTGTCGATACAAGCGAACATGCGAGTCCCAGGAAGTAATTGAGAAGAAGACGACTCGATCGCTGGGACAATACTTTTATACGCCTGACGTTTTGATATCCGTCGCGGATTCGTCATCAGAGACATAGTCAGAGAGCAATAACTTATAAGGATATTGAAACCTCAGGTGAATAAAAGCATTGTCCCAGCGATCGAGTCGTCTTCGTCTCAATTTAGTGGTGTGTTGCGACACGCAGAGCCACGTCGCGTGCGCGGAGATCCGCACTAAGGCCCGTATCATCTTGTTGTGTTAAAATAATGGCAAAGTGTTTGTGATGGACCTAAAACGTTTGGTGGTACGCTAAGGTCCAAACACCAGTGCCTTCTCCTGCCTCAGGTCTTCTTTTCTTTGTCGTGACACCGCGTCCAGTTAAAAGTGGAGGAAGAAGTGTGGTAGATGCAGCGCAAGCCTACGATGACTATAATCTCATCGAAATACAACTCCGCCCTGCTGTGAAGCACGCGTTAGATATCGTCGACCCTCAGGGCATTTTTTTCTCACTAAAAAAGCAAACTAATGCGCTTGAAGCTATCACGGTGCGTTAAAAGCCGTGTCTTGGAGGGTTGCCAATTGAGGGGATAATTGGGACACCGCAGTCAGTCTAGTGTGTGTCTTGATGTGCGGAGTGGCTAACTGTGGGCTTAAAGTCAGTCTCAATGACTCCGTCTTAATGTAGCCTTTATGGTGCTCCCAGGCTGTAGCATACTTAGCGAGGTACTGCTTTTGGTGGCGCGTGTTGGAGTGTGATTTACGCACACCGCCGGCGCCCTCCTCATTTCCGGTCTTCTCAATTTTTCTCCTGACAGTGGGTTCCAGTCTGGGAGTGGTGAGAGAGTGGGTTAGGTTCTCTGCAAGTCACCGCAGTGTTTCAGCTTGCTGAGGCTCGTGGTGGACATCGTCGAGAGCGACGGTTGAACTGCCACTTTGCAGTCTGAACTTTGCAGTCGTCTGAACTCTAAGTGTTACAAACAGGTCATGCTGACCTGAGCTTAAAATCCCAGTGAAGCACCTAAAAATAGTAAGGTCGTTTAGATTTATCAAGTCTAAACTAACTTAGGATAACTGGAACATACCTTTCAAGAGGCGGAAGGCAACTCAGGCCAAGAGCCCTTCAACACAGCAACGACTCCTTATTTCGTGAGAGCCACAGTGTCGTCATCCCGATTGAGTTTGGTCTTGCAATTACTAGTATGAAACCAGTCCAAATGTTCCACTGCACAGCTGAAGGACCTTTCTGCCTTTCTCGCCTTAATAATCAGAACGATTTGACTAACTAGCCGTTAAATGATAATGAGGCAACTCCTTGACACCAGCCAATTGATTAATCGTGCCGGCTGACAAGGGGACGAGAGGAATGAGGCTCGATTAAAATGGATAAAATGGTCGTCGGCCTACGCTTTGCATTTCCTTCTTGAATTATGTACATTCTGTACTTTTACCAGCACCTACGATTGGTGATCTCGTGGAT